GTTTTCTTTGTAAATTAAGCAGTCTTAGGTATTTCTTCATAGCAGTGTGAAAATGGACAATTTCCCTTTGACGGAAATTTGACTTGTAAAGATTTATGCTACAGAGATTTTCATATGAAGATGTATGCATAAGGATGCTGTGCTGTATGAAGAAGGGAAGACTGGAAACAACCTAAATGTACATCAATAAGTGACTAGTTAAATACGTTACTGTACCTACAAATAATGCATTGTTGTGTGACCATAAAAAAAAAAAGAATAAAGTAGATATTTAGTTTATTTAGTTGTAGATATAGAATGAGCTCTACAATATATTGTTAAGAGGCTGAACAATATGCTGTTTACAGAAAATATGCTCTAGTTATATATAAAGGAAAAAGGATTTAAATTCACATTTGAACTTGATAACACATTGAAAAATTGCAGAAAGGTAAATAAAAAAATCCAAAGCTTGGCCAGGTGCAGTGGCTCATGCCTGTAATCCCAGTGCTTTGGGAGGCTGAGGTGGACGGATCACAAGATCAGGAGATAGAGACCATTCTGGCTAACACAGTGAAACCCCGTCTCTACTAAAAACACAAAAAATTAGCCAGACGTGGTGGCACATGCCTGTAGTCCCAGTTACTTGGGAGGCTGAGGCAGGAGAATCTCTTGAACCCGGGAGGTGGTGGTTGCAGGGAGCCAAGATCACGCCACTGCACTCCAGCCTGGACGACAGAGCGAGACTCAGTCTCTTTAAAAAAAAAAAAAAAAATTCAAAGCTTATACCATGGGAACGTTTTCCCTTTTTAATTTTTTAAAAAGGGTCTTTGACGTTTTGGTTATTCTACATTTTATTCAAAGTTACTTATTGCCAATAGGATTTTATTCATTTCCTAATAAAAGAAAACAGAAGCACTCCTGCTCCTGGCCTTTCTACTAGGCCCTTGTAATAGTTATCTTTACTCTTTCCTGTAGTAGAAGTGGGATTCTAGTGTTTTCTTCCTGGTCATGTTTCATTTCATACTGTGATATGTTCAAGTACCCAGCAAAGGAAATAAGCCCATAGTGGGCATTCAGTCAGCTTCTACAACATGTGTCAAAAGAGGCCTGGACACAGTGGCTCATTACTGATTTTCAGCACTTTGGGAGCCCAAGGCAGGAGAATCACTTGAGGCCAGTAGTTGGAGACCAGCCTGGGAAGCATAGTGACACCCCCATCTCTCAAAATAAATAAATTAGGCCGGGCATGGTGGCTCATGTCTGTAATCCCAGCACTTTGAGAGGTTGAGGCAGGCAGATCACCTGAGGTCGCAAGTTCGAGACCAGCCTGACCAACATAGAGAAACCTCGTCTCTCCTAAAGATACAAAATTAGCCAGGCATGGTGGTGCATGCCTATAATGCCAGCTACTCGGGCGGCTGAGGCAGGAGGATCACTTGAACCCGGGAGGTGGAGGTTGCGGTGAGCCGAGATTGTGCATTGCACTCCAGCCTGGGCAACAAGAGCGAAACTCCGTCCTTAAAAAATTAAAATAAATAAATAAAAATAAAATTAGCCAGGCATGGTGGTATATGCCTGTAGTCCTAGCTACTAGGGGGACTTGGGTGGCTGAGGTGGGAGGATTGCTTGAGCCTGGGAGTTAGAGGCTACGGTGAGCTATGATTAGGCTGAGCCACAGAGTGAGACCTTGTTTCTTAAAAAAAAAAAAAGAAAAAAAAGGGAAAGAAATACCAAACTGAAAATTTCTGAAACAAATGTGTAATTATTACTACCCTAAACTTTTTTTCACACTTTTGTGAGTCAGTTTCCCTTTAACCTTTGACTCATAACATAAAGAAGGTTAAGTCCAGAGTCCATCAATGGTTAAAAGATTGTGAGTGAGATGTATAAAAAATAGTACTGACGAATTCTGAAAGGGAAAACCTCATTCCCATTGCCTGGTTCTTGTGCATTGCAGTATTATCACAATATGGTATTCTTTTAAAGAGTTACGACTCTTTACATATACAGCAGATGAATGTGATTATTTATATGCGTATATTGGTTTACACACTGGTGTTCACTGGCTGCTTAAACTTACAAATAACCAAAGATGGCAGTAATGTTTTAAAGTGTGAAGCTGTGCTTCTTTGTTTATAAAATATGATGCTGAACATATTCTTTATTTTCTGATGCTGTCATTGCCTTCTTACTGTCTATTTACTCTTCTTGAGATGAAAATAAGTATGTAACAAAAAATAAATATAGCTTTTAAGATGAAAAAGCTCAGGTTTCATATGGAATATTTTTATATCGTTATTAAAGCAGCCAAACAGACTTTATAGTCCCATTGTAAGTATATATATAGTTGATGATTGTTATAGGTTTCAACTTGGCACCTTTTCTGTGTGCTCCCTTATTAAATCAATACTTACGTTCAAACATAAACTGAGGCAGAACAAGTTTCCTGTTCAATAGTTCTCACTTAAATTTTGTTTTGATTTTATTTCCAACTGTACTTAATAGCTGAAAGCTTCTTGTGGTTAGGAATAGTATTGGAGATTTTGGTGGAATCTAATTATTTTGAACTTTTAAGGCCTTAAAGAGGGAATTGTAAGGCCACAATACATTTTTCTAATAGCTTTCGTAGTCTGTTAGTCTGTGTTGCTTATTTTAGGGGGATGATGTCTAAATTGAAATGTTTATCCACTGTAGTTGTAATGATCTTTTTCAACTTCTTTAGAAAGCAGTTCATTGAGCGAAGAAGAGAGAATAAAAAGAAACATAAAAGGGTAATATGCCTAGGACTTTTGAGCCTGTTACTATTTCCTAGCTAAAGTTTACTTAAAAGAAAAAAATAAAAAAATAAAGAGAGAGCCTAGGCATTGGGCAGAAACTGTGTGCACGTGTGTTGGAGGAGGAGGCGGGGTCTGCTCATTTGTTTGCCCATTGTGAGGCTGTCCTGCACCTTTGTGCTTTTTTGTAACGGGGTGAAGGCCCCTGAATAGAGGCCTTGTGCCCTGCTTGATTTGAAATCCATGCTGTTTATGGAAAGGAACCTGCAGGGCACCCAGCGGGAAGTCTGTGTGACAAGTGGAAATCTAGGATCTGGAAGAAACGTGGTGTTTGAGGGGGAAGGTGGTGGGGGGAATGGTCATAATCTTTCGGCCTTGCTCTTGTACCCCACAAGCTTAATTGTCACCCTCTGCTGGCAACCAGATTGCAGAGCCACTCTTTAAGTGTCCTTGGATTGCCTGTGCTTACTCTCACCTTATTGCTGTCAAAGAAAAACTGGACAAATAGGATTGAATTCTCTTAGAAAAATATGATATGAACTGGGTATATTACTAGTAGAGGTTAAATATCTGAGGGTTTTGTTTGTTTGTTTGTTTGTTTTTTGATAGAGATGTATTTAAAGGGAAGAATGGCTACATGGGAAAAGCTGGAATTATTGGCACGCTCCTGTGTTTCAGAGCCTGTTGAAAGGCAGGTCGCACCAACACTAGGCTGGTTAAATCTAGTTTGTACAGCTTGTGTACTTTGTGGTACCAGCTATTGGTCCAAAGTTTCCTGGCTTAAGAAGCCATGTAATTTTAAGTGTGCAAGAAAGGGGTGGGACAGCAGAAGCTTTTTATAGGATTTCAAGTAGTAAACATTAATTTTTAAAGCAATATTCCAGGGACTTAACAGAAGTAGAACTTGTATATGATGTTTCTTTAATGCCAGCACATATTTGAACTGACAAGGGAAGGGAGATAATTTTATTTTAAAGCAATATTTTCCATTCTTTTTTCCTCTTCAATTAGAAACTGGTTCTTCAACTTTCAGTGCCAATTGAGACATGCTATAATAGGTATTTAACAATTCTGTCCTGCTGTTTGACTTCAGGGGGAAATGGTGGTGGAATGTTTAGTAGCTGACATACACAGTTAGGTAGCTAGGGATCTGGTGTACAGTAAATGTGGTGTGGTGTGGTGTTTGGGTCATATATGCTAATTATTTCAGCACAATGCTGAAGCCATGCAGAATACGGAAGAGTGTTTGACAAGATGCCAGAAAGGCCGTGCTAATTATGTTTATTGTCCCCATTCAGGTTTTTTGGGTGTGTTTTGTTCCCCACTGTTGTTTTCTTCTTTATGGTGGTTCTCTGAAAACTGTGCCCCATGAACATATGGAGTTCTGTAGATGAATATTTATTGGTTTTGTACAGACCCCGGATTCTATGAGCTTAATAACGATTTATGCTGTTTTGTGGGTAATTGAGAGGACGTGTTAAGATATAGTTGATAGTAAGGTTTTCGTTAGTTATTTCCGTTTTTTGAGGTAATATTAAAGACAGTTTGGCCAAAATCGGAATTCAACAATACAGAGAGCTTTTGGTTTGCTCTGGGTTCAAAGACAGTTTGTTTGGCTATAGCTGACCTCCCTCCCCATTTTTATGAACTAGTCTTCTTCCTGCAAAACTCAAATACAGTACTTGGTATGGTCTCATAATAAATTTAATTGTTAATTTTATATATATATATATAAATGTATATATCGTTTATATTTCTGCTGTTAATGATTCACTGCTTTTTAAAATTTTTCTTTCTGATAATGTATTAAATTATAGCCATAACATATTTATGTCTGCTAAAATGTAACATTAGTTGTTGGTTGTGATAAGCTTTTGTTTTGTTCTGTTTTGTTTGACACAGGGTCTTGTTCTGTCACCCAGGCTGGAGTACAGTGGTGTGGTCAAAGTTCACTGCAGCCTCCACCTCCAGGCTCAAGCTGTTCTCCCGCCTCAGCCTCCCAAGTAGCTGCACCACCACACTCAGCTAATTTTTTATTTTTGTAGAGATGGAGTCTCCCTACATTGCCCAGGCTGGTCTTGAACTCCTGGGCTCAAGCGATCTGCCTGCCTTGATCTCCCAAAGTGCTGGGATTACAGGCATGAGCCACTGTGCCCAGCCAAGCTTTTGTTTAATTTTAGTTACTGAAGAAGCTTACAACTCATTGAGATATTTATGAAGTGCTTTGTGTTTGTGTTTTTTTAGGACATGTCTCAGGAAGGCTATGGAACTAGATCTCAACCTCCTCTGGCCCCCGGAAAACCTAACCATGAAGACTTGAACTTAATACAACAAGAAAGACCATCAAGTTTACCAGTAAGACATTATTGTGCTGATTTGGAATTGTGATGAGCTAAAGATTTTTAGAAAGAGCTGTTGTTTTTGTTTGTTCTACTTTATATTATGACATGATTGAGAAGTTTCTAGATTTCAGGTATATTTTGTGGTTAATTTTTCAGGGTTTACCTTTTAGGAGCTCTGTAGTCCTGGATAAGTCTATTTCATGTGTGTATATCTCTGCTGCAGAGTGTAGACATCAGTTGGAAGGTTTTATGCGGCTGGTCGATTTTGTGTGTGCAGGCGGTTATTGTTGTTGTACAGTTGAGCTTTCTTTAGGCTGTTGCTTTTTGGTAGTGATACAAAACAGAGGTGTCCTTATAGGAGTTAAAACTTAAAAGAAATTTGCACTTTGCAAAGGATACAAATAATGAGATAAAATATCTGATAGTAATTTGAATTTCTTCTAGGACTTTCTATTTATGTAATGAGAAATCCCCCAAAAGAAAGTAGTTTAAAATTTGAGGCCGGACGCGGTGGCTCACGCCTGTAATCCCAGCACTTTGGGAGGCCGAGGTTCGCGGATCACCTGAGGTCAGGAGTTCGAGACCAGCCTGACCAACATGGAGAAACCCTATCTCTACTAAAAATACAAAATTGGCCAGGCGTGATGGTGCATGCCTATAATCCCAGCTACTCGGGAGGCTGAGGCAGGAGAATCGCTTGAACCCGGGAGGCAGAGGTTGTGGTGAGCTGAGATGGTGCCATTGCACTCCAGCCTGGGCAACAAGAGTGAAACTTCATCTCAAAAAAGACAACAATAACAAAAAAATGACAAAACTGTTTATTAAATATTTCCACCAGTAAATAGTATACGGTGATTGAGGTTTCTATTTATAGGAATAGTGGCTATTACATGGGGTATCGTGTTGATGCCCATAAATAGTTCATGTCTACTTAATTTGCCTTTTATATAGAGAACCTAATTTAAAGGAAGTCTTCTTTATTAATGAAAAGGAAAAGTCTGCAGGAGGCTGAGGCAGGAGTATCGCTTGAACCCAGGAGGCGGAGGTTGCAGTGAGCCGAGATCCCACCACTGCACTCCAGTCTGGGCGACAGAGCGAGACTCTATCTCAAAAAAAAAAAAAAAAAAGAATAAATCTGTACAAATAAATATTTTTAAATTTATTTGAAGGATTATTGTCATTGCCTAGTTTCTATGGAGAAGGTTTGTTTAAGACGGGAATTCAGGATGGCCATGATTTTAATTGGAATTTCAACTATGTTTGCATTAACTTAGATTTATTATATTACTTCTAAACATGAGAACAAACATTTGTAGTGAATGTTATACATGACATTTGACGTGCATACCATACCATATACATTTTGATGTATATGCAGATTTAGAGAAGGTAAGTGATGACCACAGGATGTCTGCTGTCTTTGAATCTGATGGATGTATTTTTGAAACTCTAATTTTTATACCTTTTAGTTTTATGTGAGAGAGGGTGAAATCTTATTGTGGCGTTTTTCCCCCATTTTAGTTGTGTTGATGTATTTATTGTCTAGGTATTTGGTTTTGAAGGAGGGAAGTAGGGTTGGATTTTGCGTTTTATGCTGCTAAACTTTCTTCAGCAGATAGTTCACAGCCTAGTAAGCATGTAGTGTGTCCGCGTGAGAGAGAGAGAGGGAGGAGAGAGAGAGAGGCATGCATGCTGTTGATAAATACTACATTTACTACATATTTGGAAATTAGCTTTTGTGGCTCTATGAAATTTAAAATAGATGCATGGGAGCCAGATGAACAGTGAATTCCAGTTTTTTCACCAGTTTTTTAGTGTTTTTGTAGAAGCTCGACCTTGTAGATTTGTCACTGGCTGATGATATTGTACTGTGACACAGGTTGGTAAATTTGTCATAAATGGATGCAGATTTTCTGCATAGCTGTAAGAATACTTTGTGGCAAACTGCTTTCTTCATATCTACTCAAAAACTTCAGCATCACTCACTAGTAGATGCCTTTTGCCATGAATCTGTGTTGGAATGGATGGTTGACATTCAGCTAATTCTACAGTGTTATTAGGGATGGCATGAAGTATTGTAGTTTCAGATAACTGACTGAAGAGTTTGCTCTGGGATAGGAGCTTTTAACTAGATTGCTGGAAAAGTGGATGAAAGCATTTAGGAGATGAATATAGTCATCAACCGTTTAAATGTTTTCTGAATTGTTCTATTTCTATCTTGTTGTGTATGTGTAACAGCTATCTTCTTTAACCTTTATCTTGCCTACTTCCCAAAAGTATTTAAAGTTGTCCTAATGTAAGTTTTTTTGTTTTTTTAATGAAATACCCCTATTGGTATTTTCTTTCTGTTTTTGTAACTCACAGATAAATAAGATGCTGGCTGACTCAGTAGTTCTTCAAGCACATTTCAGTAATCTCTTTTTAGAGAACAGAGTTTCCAGGTTTTATGTTAAGTGTGTGGAAGATTCAGTCACTGAATAAAGGACAAACTGTAAGATAACCTGCTATACCTGAAACCCCCAATCTGTTAGGATGAAATTTGGCTTTATTTAAATGAAATATATTACACCAGTTTTTTTGTTTTCCACAAGGGCTTTGCATGTGTAAAAACTTTCTATATGGGGCTTACAAATATTTTTATTTATGTGGATACTTATAATTAAGTTGCACACAGCTGAGGTCATTGTGGTTTCAGGGAATGATTTGTTGATACTCTGTTATGGCTCTAATAGTCTGTATTTTACAGTGTTGCTTTTATTAGATACTGTAGTCCTCTAACTTGGCTGGGTTGATTGTGGAGAGCCCATAAAGCTGTATTTGTTATCACATCTGAATTTGCTATTGGATCCTTTGTAGATTTACTCTTGTGTTCTGGTTTTCCTTTTCAGGTGTCAGGGATGTAAATTTTATCTTTTCACCTAAAGTCAATCCATGATATTTGAAACCTGTAGTTTTGTAATTTGGAATTAAGTGTATTGTGTTATCTGTACCGTTTATGAAATGCAGCATAGTGATTCTAATGTGTAATTATTCTATTCATTTTATATAATGACGATGACAAGAATGCCTCTCAAGTAGTAATTTCTTAGTCTTTTTGCTTACATTGAGATAGGTTTGTTATATGTTTCTGCATGTGACATTTTCTACCTGTATCCTAAGTATATTTTTCTTTTAGCATGTTTGTTACAACTTAACAACTTTCCATTATAAGAAATCAAGGCATTTCCAGTATCTTTATGCTACATCTATCATTTGATCCCTCAGCAAGTTGTCCTCACTGTTGTTTGATCCTGTTTTTCTATATTTGCATGTCATTAAATTCTTCATGACCTTCAGTAGGCAATGCAGTTCTATTTTCCAGCTAACTTGGATAGATCTTCACATCATCTGCAGAAAGCAAATGATTGATAAATTAATAACTTGTTCTCTTGTTGTCTTGGGGCCATGACCAGTCATATTTACTTTTTGCTTAGTGGACTCAGACCTAAGCTCTGAACAAATCCTCCTTAATATTGTCCACTTATTTCTATACCTCTTAGTCATACAGCATTTCCCTGTTGAGGTATATTAGTTTATACATCCTTGGTATTACTGCTATTGATGAATCTTAACGTTGAAGAGCTTTCTTTCTTAGACTATTATCACTTAAAATTTGAGCACATTTAGCTTTCACAACCTCTAATATTGGTATGAAATAAACCCAGCATTTAAGCTACAGACACAGTGGAAGGTCTAAAAGATGCTGTCACTTACTTAATTTCTTGTTTCATAAACATTGCATATCCCTCAATTTATGTTTCAAGATAGCCCTCAAATATGGGTTTAATACACTTTTTGTTGAATGTTCAGTTAAATTTTCACCTCTTGTGACATTTATTATTTATCCTTTTATTATAGTTATCCTGAACATTGTTTTGGCTCCCCTGTTTGACTGGAAGCTTTTCGTGGTATATATTATGTCCTGTTCAGTAAATATTTTCCTCAAAAATTTCTATAAAAATGATTTTTAAATAAATTGACTTCCTCAGTTTCAGAATTTTCTTTTAATTGCTAAGGGGTCTGTTAGGTGGCATTGAATGGCCCCCGGGGCACCTGTGCTCTCTTTGTGCTGGTGCTGCTGAGTGATTAAATGAGTGGACGTCTGCATCGCCAGGCGTGTATTATTCTTCAAATGATTCTATTTTACCAAGTGATGTTTGGATTTACCTTGGTTACCATAGCTTTAAGAAAAGAAGTGGACACTGGATAATTAAGCTAAAAATACCCTGAAAGCATTCTGTTCTTAGTAATACATATTTTTTACTTATAAAAAATTAATTGACAGAAATGGTAATCATAAGTTCAGTAATTATATTACAGATGGATAGTTAATAAAATATTCATAATCATATATAAAAGGAAGTAAACATGGAAAAGGAAGAAGTTTTATTTTCTTATAAAACACTATATAAGCACTTTCTTATAGTGCTTTTCCCTCCAGGGATCTGAAGAGTTGTTAATATTCCTCAGTTTAGAAATAACTAATTTGTTTTATTCTTCAGAGAGGCATGCCGCTAGCTTTGTATTTCAGATAGGAGGTTCATTATTCTGTTTACCTAAGATACAGAATACAATCAGTTTGGCCGTCATATTCTAAGAGCGTTTGAAAATGGACTGCTTTGTTAGGACTTTGTAAAATATGTCTATAAATATGGGCTATTCTAGAAGGCTCATCAGGTCATTAAAAACCTTTTTGTGACCCTTTCTTCCTTAAATAGGAAATATCTAAAGAGGTTGACATGAAAAGGGTTTGATCTTTCTGAGTTAACTAAAAATCCCTAAATGTGTCGAATAGTGCTTATGGCACTTTTGTTGAGTTTGCAATTAGACGGAAATATTGGGCTTTAGATAAAGCATATGTTTTTTGGCTCTTTGTGAAAGGAAGGAGGTAGTAAATGCTGGTCGTTCTTTGAAATAGAGGGTGTTAAACAGGATATTGGAAGCCTGAAAGAGAATGGTTGGAAAACTTTTATT